AAGTCCCTGATTGGGACTAATTTTGGTCCCAATCGGGGTACACTTTTTGGTCCAACTTTCTCCAAATTGAAATCCGATTGAACCGTTGGGATCAGACAGTCAAACTCTACACATTGATATAATTTTCATTATTTATTGACAAACTTTAGAATTTACTTATTTTTGGGTCCTTCTCAGTAATTAATTAATTATAATCTAATTAACTCTGATAGGCCTATTTTTGGTGCGTTACATTTCTCTCCCCCTTAAAATAATTTCGTCCTCGAAATTACCTGAGTTATTGGTTGAAGAGATTCGGATATTGCATCCTCATTGACTCTTCGGTTTCCCATGTTGCCTCTTCAGTCGAGTGATTTCTCCATAGCACTTTGACTAAGGGTACAGATTTGTTTCTCAATTGTTTGACCTCTCGTGCTAAAATTTGTACAGGTTCCTCTTCATAAGTCAATTGTTCGTCAAGAGTTACAATTCTCTCAGTCAAGATATGCGATGGATCGGAACGGTATCTTTTCAACATCGATACATGGAATACGTCATGGATTTTGTTCAGTTCTGGTGGAAGTTCTAACCGATAGGCTACTGGACCCACACGTTCAGTGATTCCATAAGGTCCAATATATCTCGAACTTAGTTTTCCTTTTTTACCAAACCGTAACACTTTCTTCCACGGTGAGACTTTCACAAACACCTTGTCATCAACATTATATTCGATCTCCCGACGTTTTAAGTCGGCATAAGATTTCTGTCGATCGGAAGCCACCTGCAATCTTTCTCTGATTAGACGAACCTTCTCTTCAGTTTCGCGAACGAGATCAGGTCCTTCAAGTTTTTGCTCACTTAATTCTGTCCAGCATACTGGGGTTTTACAGCGTCTCCCATACAAGGCTTTGTACGGGGCCATTTGGATACTCGCTTGATAACTATTGTTATACGCGAATTCCATTAGTGGTAAGTATTGTTCCCAGTTGCTTCCAAAATCAATTACACATGCTCTCATCATATATTCAAGAATTTGAATTGTCCTTTCAGATTGTCCGTCAGTTTGAGGATGAAATGCCGTACTAAAGTTAAGTTTAGTACCTAAGGCTTTCTGCAAACTCTTCCAGAATTGCGATGTGAATCGCGGGTCACGAGTAGAAATGATAGACAAAGGTACACCATGTAATCTTACAATCTCACGGATGTACAACTCTGCCAACTTCTTTAAGGACATATCACGTCGAATTGGGATAAAATGAGATGACTTGGTTAATCGATCAACAATTACCCAGACAGCGTCATTTTTTCTTAGCTGATAATGGAAGTCCAATCACAAAGTCCATCGTAATTCGTTCCCACTTCCATTCAGGGATAGTAGGTGGATGTAGCAACCCACTAGGCACTTGGTGTTCAGCCTTGACTTGTTGACACGTCAGACATCGTGTTGTAAATTCAGAAATTTCCCGCTTCATTGTGGGCCACCAATATGTCTTCTTCAGATCTTGGAACATTTTATTACTACCAGGATGCATGGTATAAGTGGTTTCGTGAGATTCACGCATTAAACGTTCCCTCACTTCGCCACTAGGAACTACCAAGCGATTCCGGTAAAATAAAATTCCATTATTTACTTTGAAATCTTGTCTCTCCCCCTTAGAGACAAGTTCACAAGTCTTCAAACAGTAGTCATCACGTTTTTGTGCAGCATGAATTTCATTCTCGACAGTAGGTTGAACTCGGAGTTCGACTATCATCTTTCGGCTCAATGCGTCAGCAACTACGTTAGCCTTGCCAGGGTGATAGTCAATGTAGCAGTCGTAGTCTTTGATCAATTCTAACCATCTTCTCTGTCTCAGGTTCAATTCTTTTTGAGTTAGCAGGTATTTTAGACTTGTGTGGTCTGTGTGAATATATGTCGTCTCTCCAAAGAGATAATGACGCCATATTTTCAAAGCAAATACAACTGCTGCTAACTCAAGATCGTGAGTCGGATAATTACATTCGTGAGGTTTCAACTGTCTTGATGCGTATGCCACGACTTTTCCGTCTTGCATGAGTACACATCCCAAGCCATTATGAGATGCATCACTAAAGATTGTGTAATCTACACCTGGTACTGGTTGGGTCAGCACAGGTGCTTCTGTCAGACATTTCTTTAGTTTCTCAAAGCTTTGCTGACATGCATCGGTCCATACAAATTTCACATCTTTTCTCAGAAGTTTGTTAAGTGGAGTTGCGATCGAGGAAAAGCCTTCAATGAATCGTCGATAGTATCCAGCTAATCCAAGAAAGCTTCTCACTTCACGAATATTCCTTGGAACCTTCCACTCGGTGATGGCAGATATTTTACTGGGGTCTACCTTAACACCTTCTCGAGAAATCACATGTCCCAAAAACGTAACTTCATTAAGCCAAAATTCACACTTTGACAGTTTGGCATATAGTTTATGTTCCCGTAGTATGCTGAGTACTATCTCCAAATGTTTCACATGGTCTTCTCGATTCTTCGAATAGACAAGAATATCATCGATGAATACAACCACGAATTGATCAAGATAAGGTCGGAATACACTATTCATGAGATCCATGAATACTGCTGGAGCATTGGTCAAACCAAAGGGCATTACCGTAAACTCATAATGACCATAATGGGTACGGAACACAGTCTTTGGGATGTCCTCTTTCTTTACAGGGATTTGATGGTATCCTGACCGTAAGTCAATCTTAGAAAATACAGTGGATCCTCTAAGCTGATCAAATAAGTCATCGATACGAGGTAAAGGATATCGATTTTTGACTGTGACTTTGTTCAATTGACGGTAATCGATGCAGAGTCTCATCGAGCCATCTTTCTTTTTGACAAACAGGACGGGTGCTCCCCAAGGGGAAACACTCGGACGTATGAATCCTTTATCGAGTAGTTCTTGTAGTTGAGCCTTCAACTCTTTCATTTCAGCAGGAGCCATGCGATAGGGAGTTGCAGATATCGGTCCTGTTCCAGGAACAAGATCGATGGAAAATTCTACTTCTCTGGAAGATGGTATACCAGGAAGTTCGTCAGGAAATACGTCAGGAAAACCACATACTGTCGGTATGTCTTTCAACT